GAGCATCGTAGCATCATAAGCTATTTGCAAAAGTTTCATCCTGATGACCATGGACCCTTTGGAATTACTGCCACCTGTCTTGAAACGTTTGTAAAAAGCTGTGCTGGCTACTCTGTTATCACATATATACTTGGTATTGGAGACAGGTGATTGTTGATTTCATTCATTACACATCATTTTACATCTAACTAGTGATGTTGATATTTTGTTTTGATGCTTCTAATTTTGTTTTTGTGTTGTGCTCTGAGCTCACTTGCAAAACCTCCCCCACAGTCCCTGCTCCCAATAAAATGTGGGAGTTGGTTGGGTGTGAACCAAGGACAGTTGGTCTTTTTGGTGTAGAAATTTAACTTACCTTGTGTGTAATTAGTCAGTCAGAGATTGACAATCAGGATTTGGAACTTGTTGGACGTGTTATATAAAATTCTCTGCATCAGTCAGTTCTATGATTTGAACATCTTTGAGAAATGGTATTCATTTTATGCCCTTGCTTCTGGATAGGGTTGTCTTCTTGGCTTTTTGACGATCTGCTCATGGTTAGGTTCATTTTTTTATCAAGGAATTAGACTGGAGGGCTTTATTTATTTCAATGTTCTCATTTTGCTTTTTTCACAGTTTCTCATTTATTTCAAGAACAGAGGGAAAATAGCACATAATGGAGTTAACTTTGTATTGATGTGGAAACTTGTATTGGTATAATAACAGTGTACAGAAATCAGAAAAAAACAGTAACAACGGTGAAATTGAGAAAATTACAAAGGAAATGGCAAAAAAACTAAGAAGTCCTAGGGCAGTTTGAGAGGCCAATTCCAAGTCCAATCCCAGATTCCCAATACCTTCCCTTTATTCTCTTACTTATTTTGTGAAATTTTCGCCAGTGCGCAAGTCCCTGATTGCTTTCAATTTAGCCTGCTCTAGAATATTCTTTAACAAACTTCCTACTGACTGAGCATGACTCTCCAGCCCCTTTTTTCTCTTCTGTGAAAGGTGGGGAGTAGAAAGCACGGACACGGTTTTTCAAAAACATTTGCGTGTCGGACACGTGTCCGACACGCGGTCAACATTTGGGGACACGCGGTCAACTCTCTGACACGTTCCGACACATTTTTTCGACACGCAGTCAACTTTTTCCGACACGCGGTCAATGCTCGGACACGCTTGGACGCGTTTTTATTTATAAATTAACTTTTTTCTATTATGAAATTTGACATGAAAAATTAACAAAGTACGAAAAATTATTTTTATTTATATTTATGTTATGAAATTTAAATATTTAATTGGTTATATGACTTATTATGGACTGTTATATCTATTAAATATAAATTATATTATATATATTAAAAATATTATTTAATATCAAAACGTGTTCCAACGTGTCGAAATATGTCATTTTTTAGAATTAACGTGTCGTGTCGTGTCCCGGTTCAGTGTCCGTGCATCATAGGGTGGGGACGTATCAATGTCTTGTCTTCTGTTTGTGTAATCTCTCTCTTTCTCTTGGTAATAAAATTTCTTAATTGATTAAAAACAGTTGCGTACTGATAGGTAGAGCTGGCAAAATGGGCCGAGCCCGCCGGGCCGGCCCGCCCCGCCCCGCCCGCCAAGCCCGCCCGGGCTGATTTTTTTTTTTTTTTTTTAATTTTTAGTGTAAAATGTGACGGGCTTAGCGGGCAGAGATATCTAGTCCACCTTCAATGGCGGGGCGGGCCAGCCCGCTTTTTGGCGGGCAGGGGCGGGCAGCCCGCTTTGCCACCTCTACTGATAGGTAAGGTCCACAAGGTACTCCCATTAAATGGTATTCATGTAAGGTATAAAGGGGTGGTTTTAAATGCTGGGTCAGCAAGTGATGATTTGTTACAAGGGGAATATTTTGGAGCCAGCAACAGCAATTACAGGAGCTTGCTTAAGTAAGAAAATTGTAGGAGAGGGAAGGTGGTTTGGAACTTGAATTTGGGCTGGATTGGGAGAGACTAGAACCTCTCTAAGTGCTCTAGACTTATCTTACTGTTTTTTTCTGTCATTTCCTTTTCAATTCTTGTATCATTTTCAGTTGTTAGCAAACAGGGGATTTGTGTCGGACAATTTAGCATAACTGGTTTCTCTCAATTCGTGTTAATCCTTTCTCTGTTCTGTTGATACCTATCACGTACTTCACGTGGTTTGGGTAATGTTAACATCCCTAAAATTTAATGATGTTACTGAAAGAGGCTTCCACAATTACAAATCCCCCCCGAAGGTTAGAGGTAGAAAATAAATGAAACTAGGCTTTCAACCAATTTCTAAACAAAAATTAATCTCAATGTTTGTTTATCAAGTGCTACTGCCTTTTGTGTATCTTAACTGTTTTGAATTATGAATTTATACTGCATATAACACACATGGCATCCAAGATTTTTTCCCAACTTCTAATGAAGAAGGCTCAGATAGATTCTATCGCATTATTCTATATTTTGCGAAATAGGCATATTACATTGTTCACAGAATCCATATTTTCTCCCTACTTGAAGTGAGAGTTTTTTTTAATTGGTAGGCACTTAGACAACCTCCTCCTTAGAGACGATGGACGTCTTTTCCATGTTGATTTTGGTTTTATTCTTGGCCGAGATCCTAAGCCATTTCCACCACCAATGAAACTTTGCAAGGAAATGGTGGAGGCTATGGGTGGAGCTGAAAGGTAAAGTTCCAGTCGGATGATTCAGTTCAGATTCAAGATGGTGGTTATATGATTTGTAGCTTAAATTGTGAGATCGTAATTTATTTCTTTATTCCCCTGCAGCCAATATTATACAAGGTTCAAGTCCTATTGTTGTGAAGCATACAACATTCTTCGGAAATCCAGTAACCTAATTTTAAATCTATTTTACTTAATGGCGGGTTCCAATATTCCGGACATAGCTTCTGATCCTGAAAAAGGGATTCTTAAGGTGAACTCCTCCATGTTTCTATAAATAGGTCAAAACTGTTCTTTTGTTCTTATACCAAGACTTTTTTGCTATACAGCTTCAGGAAAAGTTTCGATTGGACTTGGATGATGAAGCCAGTATACATTTCTTCCAGGATCTTATCAACGAGAGTGTGAGTGCATTGTTCCCTCAGATGGTTGAGACCATTCATCGTTGGGCTCAGTATTGGCGGTAACCCCAATATTTATTGGGTGTTAATATACAATTGTAATTAACCAGGTAATTTCTAGTTTTTTTCTGTGGACGTACAGGTAGAACCCGACTTGTATTTCGATTGAGATTGACTTAAATTAGTATACAACTCTTCAAATTTTGATCTAATTCATTGTTATTTTGCATTCGTGTGAGCATGACTTAGAGCTTTCAAATTAAATCGTAATCACTCCAAAGATACTGACATATGATTATTGCCAGCTGATTGGAACTTCATAGTACTGCATTTTTCATGGCTTCCTTGCAGTATTTTCTATTATTTATAGCTGTTTACTTTAAACGGAATGATGTTATTTACTGAAGAACTCTCTGAATGCTAGGCAAATTGAAATGGAAGGTTTTTTTGGGTTTCTTCCTGACATTCTCTCTCGTTTCCAGCATCTGATGCCATCTGGAGGCTTCTGAAGCAGCTATATAACGTGTGCAGTTGTGTCTTCTCTTGGAGTCTACTGTATGCAGTTCTAGGTTCTAAACTAATTATCCTGAAGGCAGCAGCGAGGTTGTCTGCAACTGTGTAAATAAGTTTGTTCTCTTTCATTCCTCTAGCTACATTTGTATCAAGACGGCAGCATAACTTATGAAATCTTATTTGTGTGCCAACTAATGGACGTTTAGGTTAATTTAATCTTTTTGTCTTTTGTAAAGAAATCCTTTTACCTAGTCATAGTCTGCAGCTAGATGTATATCTTCTGTAAATAACTCCAGCTATGATCTCGTACTTGTGACCAAATTGCAAGAGATGAATTGCCAAAATTGCATCTGCATAGATTGTGAAGACTGAAGAGCGCGATTTTATTTTAGTTAATGTACTTGAACCCTATGAAATTAAGGAATATATTTGCTAGATCATACGGGGAGAACGGCACGATTATCCATGCTGGGAATTTAAACTAGTAAAATAGGTTATTCTCATGCCTTCTGGCATGGCTTATAGATAGCAACATCTTCTATAAGAATGATGAAGCTATGATATTAAAATGCATGGTTGAATATTTATTTAAATATAGAGAATATAGGATAAATTTCAGTACACAAGGCTCCTTCATCTTGTGGGGACAGGGATGAGTGTATTTTGTGGAGACAGAGAGTGTTGATTATATGCAATATTATTCTTATATTTTTATAAAGATGTTATTTTTCATATTCGAACCATCTAAACAAAGGATTAAATATAGAGAACATAAAGATTAAAATTATTGTTTTGGAAGATAGGAAATTTTCCTTACAAATTTACGTAAAGGGTAAAAATCAAATCCAATGTCTTTTTTTTCAAGTACTGACACTGTCCGACTCTCGTGATAATCTATAACTCGAAAGAAACGAATGTGCTAAAACTAAGGCGACAATTTAACAACCAGATACTTCTATATTTTACAAAAATAACCATTTTTCAAAATGACGACACATGCACAAGGCTTAAAATAAATAAATAAATTTGGATAGGGCTTCTGTGAAATGATACTAAAATTGAATTTCAATCTACTTTTATATAATAAAAATAAAGGGTTAAGTATTTGTCATTTTTAATAAAATTACATTTTTTATTGTTTTTAATATTTAAGATATTACAAAAATAATGTAATTTCATTAAAAATAACACAAAATTGTATCATTTAAAATATCAAATATTTTTTTCATAAATAAATAGGTTATTATTATTTTTTCAAAATTAAAGCAGCCTCATTTTTGTTTACCAAACAAAAAAAAAAGCTTTATATTTGATATAAATATTTGGCTTTGGAAGGTTCGAAAGAAAAATCCACTAATTCCATAGTGGATGCTTTTCGTTAATTTAAGCAATAAGAAATGAAATAGTTCGGGTGCCCTTGCTCTTATAAAATCAATTCTCGTTTTAGCTTTTGTATTCCCATTTCGCGTTGGTACAAAGCTTCCTTTGCTTTTCTCTCTCTCTCTCTCTCTCTCTCTGCGGTTTCTGGCACCTGAAACTTTCATTTCCAAAGGTAAATTCAAACCTTAGATCTTCTTTCTGTTTCCTGAATCTCTTCATGCAAATGGATTCGAGATTTTTAGTTCGTTCTCGAATCGCACTTCAATTTCAAATGGAATAAGGGTTTTTCTTTATTCTTTCAACTTTTCGTTTGCTATTGTTCTCTCTCTGTTGTTTGATCTGAGGATTTCCGAATCAAACTGTTCGGATCCTTCTTTTTTCCTTGTTCAGATAATTTTTCCTTATGTCGAACTTTGGTGCTTTTTTTTTTCTCGAAATTTTATTTAGCTTGATCCGTTTCTGTTGCCATGAAATGATTGTACTTTGCGAATCGATTATCATGCTGCTTTTTCTTATATATATATATATATATTCATTTAACTTGAGATCTGGCTGAATCCGGTGACATTCTCTTTTAATGCCATTAGCCTGAATAGATTTGTGTGAAGAATTTGCACTATTTCGATAAGATACTCTTTTTCGTTTTGGAGTTTTTTTGTGATTGGATTTTTCTTTGAATCATGAAATCAGGGGGATCCACAGGCTGAAGGAGAAATGGGCCTGACATTCACGAAGCTTTTCAGTCGGCTTTTTGCCAAGAAGGAAATGCGAATTCTGATGGTTGGTCTTGATGCTGCTGGTAAGACCACTATCCTCTACAAGCTCAAGCTTGGAGAGATCGTAACAACAATTCCTACCATTGGTAAGTTTCTGGACTACGCATTTGTTCTCGCTAGATAACCTTATTATCCGTTTTATCCTTTTTGACATAGATATTAACTTGCATAGATATTTATTGTCCGTTTTATCCTTTTTGACATCTTATAGAACTATTGGTTATTGAGGACTCACGATAACTGACTTCAAGGCCAGTTGAGTCAATAATCTTTTATGATGGAATGGTGTTAACACACTGCTAAATCTGTGCCTTTAAAATTGAACACTAGATCCCTATATATGTTGGTTCTATCAAATATTGTTTAGACACTTGATGTGAGTGTGAGATCCTGGATTTAACTTGTTCTAACCATTGTATAAATATTCATCTACAACTATAATATTCCTTTTGAGTGATGACGGATTATTGGTTGTTGTACTATTTGGTATTTCAGATTGTTGAAATGTTGCGATTCTGTTATATTTATGCTTAAAATATGTTTTTTTTCAGGGTTCAATGTGGAGACTGTGGAATACAAGAACATTAGCTTCACTGTCTGGGATGTTGGTGGCCAAGATAAGGTGTAAATTTTGATTCTTACGCATTCTGAAAAATTTAAAAAAAAAAATCCTCTTTATATATATATATGTATATATATATATATATATATATATATATATATATATTTCATTTTTATCTTTTTTCAATCTCTTTGTATCTTTCATTTGAATTCATTTACTACCTACCTCAATTAGTTTGGGATAAAGGTGTTGTTGATATTGATGTTGATTGAAAAATTACAATTTACAAGATATTTAGTGTTTATATCACTTGTCTTTCACAGTTCACTTCCTAACAACTGAGCATTACTTGGCAAAGTGTCTTGGCTGAATACTTTTGTTTTGCAGATTCGCCCCTTGTGGAGGCACTACTTTCAGAACACTCAGGGTCTTATATTTGTCGTAGACAGCAATGACCGGGACAGAGTTGTTGAGGCCAGGGATGAGTTACATAGAATGTTGAACGAGGTACTTTAGTTAATTTAGTTTGGCTTTTTATGCCATATCTTAGATGCTCATCTGGCATTTAGAGGGAAATCATTCTTGTAGAACAGGTTTTGGATCACGTAGGCATCGAAAGGAAGGAATGAACTGTTTGTTTTTAGCAGAAAATGTCAGCATTTTGCTGTATGTACTATTACTCTAACTTTGCTAGTGATACATTAGTCTAGCAAATGATGTTCACATGCTCAATGGGTGTCTCTATTGATGAAGAGGAAATTTCTATTGAACTCATAAGGGAAAGCATTTTTCTTCATCATTGCTGTTGTTAGTCGATCTGTTTTTAGCTGGATCATAATTTCTGATATCTCTTGTATATTGACGTGACTATAACATTCTTTTAAAAGTTGAAAGAACCAATTCTTACTAGTCAAGCTCCTGAGAATTTAAGTGCTTCTGATTGAATGGGCCTGTCTCAAGTTTAATGCTTACAAGGATCATGACATGACAAGAATCATTAGTCTCCTTGTTCTTTTGCTTTCTGTTTTATGTATTCTTGTGATAAAATGACAATGTTTAAAAGCTTTATTTAATTGTCTCTCAGGATGAACTGAGAGATGCAGTTCTGCTTGTGTTTGCCAACAAACAAGATCTTCCTAATGCGATGAATGCTGCTGAGATTACTGACAAGCTGGGTCTCCACTCTCTCAGACAGCGCCACTGGTAAATATTTTGATAATGAAACCCTTCTTCTCCAGTATTGATGGCTATCCTGTTGTGATCTAACATGCTACTCTGGTTCTTCCAGGTACATCCAGAGCACCTGTGCAACCTCTGGGGAGGGCCTTTATGAAGGTTTGGACTGGCTTTCCAACAACATAGCCAATAAGGTAGCTATTGTTTTCTTCCCTCCTTTGTTGTGCAAACGTTGATTAAAAGAACGAATAGTAAATGTTAAATGCAAACATTTAGTTCATTTTGAAGGGGTAGCAAAATTGCCCAATGCAAAGTGCCTCTATATGATGTTTACCCTGAATTTGCATTTTTTTAAGCATAGCATTATTCAAATTACCTCTGTTGCTATTCCTAATTTTTCAAAAAAAGCTGTTCGTTTTCTGGAATTACTGAGTTGACTTTTTTTCCTGACTTTTTATAATTACAGGCTTAATGCTTTTGGGGATTCTTGTGGATCGGTTATTCTGGATGCAGGGGTGAATATTATCTAGCTTTTATTTCTTGGTCCTCTTCCGAGACAACTTGAATTTGTGTTCGTGTATTGTGGTTTAGGACATCCTGGTGGCTCAAATTGTAGTAGGAATTTGTTTCATGGGATGTGTAATACTTCTGAGCTTTCTACTGGGTTTGGATGCGACATTCATAACTGTAATGGATATACTTATTGAAAGCGCCGTCAGGTTCTGATTTATAGTTGTATTTTGGTCATATACCTTTCGTATAATGAGGATTTTGTTTATTGTTTGCAAGTTACTGGGGAAAAGAAAAAACTTTGCTCATATGGCCATTGGGCTTTTATCTGTGATGTTAGATGTGTAGTATCCTTTTTGCCATTTTCAGTAATGTTGAACGCGAATTGGCGTAGTCAATGAAGCGGCGGGTGAAGGTGGAAAAGTGTATCTGTGAAATAAGCTTCATAAATGGAGTTAATGTTATTTAAACTCGGTAATTATTTCTTACAACTCGAACTTTCGAAGGACTGTATCTAAGTCCAGCTATATATGCACGCGGGGAAGGAGGATGGTTAAAATAATACAACGATCAAAAGTTTGCAAGAATAAAATGGTGAGGTAGGGGTTGACATGAATGAAAGCAGGGTTTTTAATATATATTTTTATTTTTAAATGTAAAAGTATGGGGAAGGTTATACTTACAGCTTTTGTTTTTTACAATCTCTTACAATTATATTTTAACACCGTTGATTTTCGTCAATCAACGATTATGATTTTCGCAAATTAAACTCATTAATTAATTATTAATTCACAATAAATGATAACCGTTTATTGACGAAAATTAACGGTATTAAGATATGGTTGTAAGAGGTTGTTAAAAAAAAGGTTGTAAGTATAACTTTTCTCTAAAAGTATATGAATAATTTTAAACAAATAAATAAAAATTTAGTAATATATAATAATACAATTATTTAAATTATATAAATCAATTTTAGATTGCGGGGTTGATATCAATTTTTTGTAGGGGTATGCATGGGTCGAATTTAATTTAATTTTTTGAAAAATTGAAACAAATTGGTTTAAATGGTTCAGTTAGAAACAAGTTTGGTTTAGTTTAAAATCGGTTCGGTTTGGTTGAAAACAGTTTGGTTCATTTCGGAAACGTTTCGGAACCTGCCCGAGTCTGCCCTCTTCTAAAAAAAAAAATTAAAAAAATTAAGAAATAAAGTAATAAAAAGGGGTTCGGTTCGGTCCGAAAAAGATTTGGTTCGATTTGAAAATAGTTCGGTTTAGTTCGCTTCTTGAACTGGTTTTAAAAACCAGTTCGGTTTATGAACTGGTTCTGTAAAAACTGATTCGGTTCTTGAACTTGATTCTAAAAATCAGTTATTTTAAGTGTAGTGCGATTCGGTTTAGTTTTTTTGGTTATTTATCCCTAGACTAAATGGCTCAAATTTATTGTAAAACTTCATAAAGTCATAATTTTTGGCTTGAGGGTCCGAATGAGGTGATTTTTTTGTTATTCCACATAATTATTTGATTTCTGCACACTGAAATGATTATTTTTTAGTATTGAAAAGTAAAAATAAGAAAAAATAATTAAATAACATCATCCATAAAAATAAAATATGCCAAACAAGACCTAAGGAAACACTTTTCAGAAAAAAAAAATTGACCAAATCCCTTCTAGGGCTTGCCAACGCATTCGTCTCGAAAAGTTATGTGGAATCAAAAATAAAATCACCTCATTCGGGCACTCAAAGCCAAAGTTATAGCCTTCCGAAGTTTTACAATAAAATATCTCAAATTTAGTGTCGCATTAGGCCGAAAGCCCCTCCTCAAGTGTAATATTATAAGTATATAACCTGTAACACCCCGTTCTAGAAAGGATTGTTATCATTGCGAACAACATTAAGCGCAGTTACAATCACATGGTTCAATTAAACTTCGGATAAATTTTTCCCTTTTAAAACGTGCCAAATTTAATATAACCAAGTGTGTGATCATAACCATATTTGCTTTGCGGAATAATGGGACTAAACTTAATATTATATTCCCCGTATATTAGACAATACGTCGTTGAATGACTTCATCTCTTTAATTATCAAATTAATTCTACACTTCTTTTATGATTCCCATCTTCTACTATGTTATAGGATTTTTCATTAGCTACGCGTGGGTTCAAACCGCGCTCAAATCGGAGCACCGTAGCCAAAGTTAGACATTTTCTAAGAAAAGGGGTGCAAAATCCCTAGAACCCCGCGCCCGTAGCGTGGGATCCACGCCCAGAGCGTGGAAAAACAGGAAGTTGGCGCCCCCAGCATGGGAGTGGCGCCCTCAGCGTGGATGCTACTGTCTGGTTCTGTAATTTGGCGCCCCAAGCGTGAATCTGGCGCCCCAGGCGCCATCCACAGGGCTGGGTGACCCAAAACAAGGTCATTTAACCTACCTATGGTTTTCCACTCATAACTTGAGCTATACTCACTCAAATTACACCATTTTGGTCTCTATAGAAAGCTAAGAGAAATGTCTACAACTTCCATAGAGACATCAAAGCCCAATTCCATCACATTGGGTGTGAAAATTGGTCAACCGGACAGGATGCCTTTGTTTTCTCAACATTTCCCAATTTAGCACTAGGTACCTAATTTAGTTTCCAGTTCAACAATCCAATACTTAATGTGCATACATATATTGAACTTAAAGTAATCATCAATTACAAATCATGTTCATTACAATTCATGGAACTTAGCTTACAAAACACTATGATCACTCCCTTGGCTCCCATCAACAAAGAGATAACCAAAGACATGAGTATAGGCTAAGTCCATTCCAATAAAAAGAACATACATCTATCAATTGTCTATTAATTACAATCCTATACATGTGAGCTACAAAACAACATGTATAATATCAAAATACAGGATCCTCATGCATCACTACTAGTCCAAGTATGGTCACTTGCCACTGGTGGCTCCTGCAGCATCCTTACCTGAAAGGGGGTCCCCACAACACGGGGTGAGATATACGAATATATCCAGTAAACCAGGGGTCCTTGGAGCATCTCTCCACCCCACAGTTCCATATTAGTGTAATAACAATAACAATAATAATGCAGTAAATACATATCTATGCAAAGTGCAATAACATCTCCAGGAGAAATCCCTCGAGCTCTCAAGCTGTCCTAAGGAAACTCAGATGCAAATAGTCCTACTAGCCAGCTAAACTACCAAGTATGATTTATGCATCGTCATGCAACATACCAACATAGGGAACCACCATCCTATGCCACACCAAATGCATACACATACGTATAACAAAGCATTACATTATTTCATTGCATTTATATACACTATAATTACCACTACCCTTTCAGGGCTTGGTGGAACAATCAAGGGAATTACACCCAAGGTCCGAAAGCTTACCTCAAAGCTTCTGTTCAACCTTTGTTCACTGTAATAACCCAAAATTATGTAGCCTTATTTATTAATGAATCTTGTGTGGGCAAATTAATTGATGATAGTTATATGTGAATAATCCAAGTTAAGTATGGTTGAATAAATTAAAAGCCCAAGCATGATGGGATAAATCCACACCAAGTAATGACCTTAATGGCCCAAACACATGGCTCTTGAAGTTATATAATATTAGACTAAGCTCAACCTAGGGTGAGCCCAACCAAAAAGACTCCTTTGGGCCGAAACCAATAGGTAAAAAAATAAGACTTGGCCCATTTACTAACTTGAATGGAAATCCAACCCTAAAAGGACAAGTGGGCCGAACCCACTTCCTAGTGTGGCCTTGGCCCAGATGCAAGAAATCTAAACCTCTTTAAGAAGCCCAAAAACTGCGGACCCCTTTATGTGAGCAACAAGGCCCAAGTTCATGAACTTATGATGGGTGATGTGGCATGAGATGAAAGGATGCCACTATATGCAACCAATGAGGAAAAAGAAATAAATGAACAATTGGCATTCCCAAGTACAAGCTGCGGCCATAATGGAGGCAAGAAGAACATGTAGTGTCTTTTCTTCTTCCTAGGTGAACACATTAAGGATCATAAACTCCTCCATCTCCCTAGGCGCAATAATTAGCATAAAAAGGGAAGACTTGTTCTTACACACCTTATGATGAGTGTGATACACTCAAGGTGACCCCAACCCCATGCATTGGGAAGCCACAAAGACACATTCTTCTAGGACTTCAACAATGAAAAGTTAAAAGACAAAAGCTTTACACATTAACCAACATTTCCCAAGTAATGATTAAAGTGTCTAACCTTGGTACACGCAAAGAACTCTCTTCCCCATGCGCCTCACTCCCCAAAATAATGATGAATCTCCCTAACCAAGGCATGACATGCAAGAACTCTCTTCCCCATACGCCTCACTCCCCAAAATAATGATGACTCTCCCTAACCAAGGCATGACATGCAAGAACTCTCCTTCCCATGCACCTCACTCCCCAAAGTAATTAAGGATGCACCTCGTTTCCCGAATCAAGGCATATCATGCAAAAGTTCTTCTCCCCATGCACACCACTCTTCAAGCAATTAATGTGAGCCTTATCTTCCCTCCACTTAGGCGCTACACACAAAGAACCCCTTCGATTCACGCGCACCACTTCCTAAGTGAATAATGATGAAGTTTTGGTTTCTAGGTAGGAATGCAAGAGTCCCCCATGCGTATGACACTTGAACAAAAGATTTGCTAACCCACACACTCAACCTAGACCTAACCCTTCCCTTTCCTAGGTGTGATGATTAGAGGACTTAGATAAAATAAAAGACCCAAGCCAACCGTTCGCACTCCCTCACACTCTCAAGATTAGCAAGGAACAAAAGGAAAACAAAGACACTCTCTCTTTCCCTCTCAAAGGCTTCGGCCTTCTTCCCAAGGAACAAGCACCCACAAGAAAAACCAACCTATCTTCCTCCCATCTAAGGCTTCGGCCATTCACATGTTAAGGGTAAGGGAACATCAAAAATAGCTTCTAGCCTCCTTCATCGTCTAACTCGTGGAAGTGGACACTTAGAAGAACTCGTTAAACTTAGAAGCAGGAGTGACATATCGGTGGAAGAATCACCATCAAATATCATCCTTGAGGTAAGGTCCCTTAGACTCCATGTTTAAGTTATGATCTCCTTCTTAAATATTTTCGTGTTATAAAGGCTAAAGGAAACAAACCTTCTTCCCTCATTCAATTCTTAAGGACTAAAAGAAAGGAAAACCTTGTGGGATTTACATGTTAACCGAAATGTTAGAATGCTATGCATAAACTATGTTGTTAAAATCATTTTCTAAGACCTACATCCTAAAGGGGCCGAACCTATATGTGAGTTATAAACCAAGTGAGTTTTTAGAATCATCTCTTAAGTCCCATTATGTTATTAGGCCGAACCAAAGGTGCAAGGGAAGACTAGAGCCGAACTCGAACTCTTGGAGAATAAAAAGACAAGACCACTGTGTAAGTGATTTATGGTTGTTGAAGCGGTTACCCTATGGTTGCCACCCCCTTTATGTGAAAGTGAGGTTTGACTGCAATATGTTATATGATGCATTACATGATATGTTTGGTTGTTTGGAACTAATGTTTATTCATGCAAGTTTTGTAAGATGGCATGTGCACTAATACCACAAAGGCAACCTGACGAGGACCCTGGGTATTCGTCCATAAGACCATGGAGAGTAATTGTCATGGCAGGATTGGTATGATGATATGAAAGCATGATTATTTTCCAAACTATGTTTCAACGTTTCTCCCATTCTATTATTGTATATGTTATTATATGACAGTTGTAGGAGTAAGCATCATGGTTTGGAGGTTGCTCCAACTGTGAGTCCTTACTGAGACCCCCAATCTCACCCCTCTTTGGAAAAACCCACTTTCAGGAAAAAAAAATGACTAAATGGGTAAGGCAGGGAAAGAGGTTGGTACGAGTTGAATAAGAACCTGCGCAGCCACGTGCAGTTAATGATGACTCCAAACTATTGGAGAAATTTATGAACTTATTATCTGAAGGAAAGTTTTTGGAGACAGACTAAATTATATCTGCTCTAGCTGGGCCCTTGTGGATTGAAGATGCACCTTACTAAGGGTGTACTTAAATTTTAATTTGGATGACTGTAATAGACCATGCCACTTAGACTATTTTGAACATTTTATATACGTTTGAAGTTGGCGCATAAGTATGAGCAGGGTAACCAAGAAGAGATTAACTTGTAAGTAGACCGTAGACAAAGCAAAAGAGAAACTCATGACTAGAGGAATAGATAAGTTAGGGAAAGAACGAAATTAATTCCCATTAGTAAATTTTAAGTTAACCACGCTTAAGTACATGGATTCCGCGCATTGAATGTCAAGCAATGTTACACCTTTGATGAGCATATTAAGGGTGTTACATTCACCACCAACAGGCAACCAATCAACTTTGGTTTCAACAATGACTTACAAGTAACACACCTACACCAAGGTGCCATAACATCAATCATACTATCCAATGAATATTTACTTATATCCATTACTACCACATCAACTCTACATATTAACTTAGCATGAGCTCACCTATTCCAAAGAGCTAATCAAGCTCCATAGCTTGCTCCAATGGTTGATCACTCACGGTTGGTTCAAATGTCTCAATCCTAGACATCACAAGGACACAATCATCAATCAACCAAGCCAAACCATTGATCATAATTGCAAGAAAACTCACAACCAAGTATCATATTCTTGCAATATTCAAAGTATAGTCATATAACTATCTAAGCTCTTTTTCACCGATTAAATGTCATTCCTAGCATTTCTTATAACATGCACTAAGTCTCATTCTTCCTAGAACATAGCTAATTCAACTACATTTCATCGAAATCCCAATTTACTATTCATAAACCCTAACTTATGCAATTTCAAGGAATTATGAGGTTCAAGGGGTAGAATCTTACCACCAATGGTTGCCCAACCAAGCAAGGAGCGTTCCTCAAGCTCCCATGGAGGTAGAAATTCCCAAAACCCCAAAATCTCACAAAGGGCCGAATTTTTGAGAGGCAATATCTCTCTCCACAATGCTCCCCACTCAAAACTAAGCTTAGATTTTGAAAGAAGGAAAGATTTAGAGTAGTTTAGGCTTTTGAATCACCCCAATCGGTGGAGGATTGCTCTTCCTCCCTTCCTTCTTCTCCTTCCCTCTTCTCTCTCTTTTCCTTTCTTCCCTTCCTTCTCTCTAGCTGTCGACGGGAATGGGTGGGAAATGGGTTCTCTTTTTGGTGTTTTAGTCACTTAACATAGGTTAAGTGACTTTAAGAGGGTATTGGTTCGTCTATCTATTCAACTCCAATAATTATCAAACTTCACCCAAAAGTCTGGGATATTATTCTAGGAATATTTACAATTTTATTTTTATATTTTGGGCACTTTTGCCTGTACCCATTTATACCCCTTAAATTTTACTGAGTACACTTTTTAACTCCAAAGTGACTCAAATTCATTTAATTAAGTCTTATACTTAATTTTACTCACTAAAACATGCTTAATTATTTAATTACATGTAATTTGCTAATTAATTAGGTTAAGGCTATTATAGTATATAACCATAGAAACTCGTTCGATCCAAAAAAAATTGTGGAAAAAAATTTATATGACTTCGTTCATTAATGTAATCAATTACCGTATACTTGTGTAATCATGTAATCAATTATATCAATTAATTGTGATGTAATCGATTATATAGATGTTGTAATCGATTACATAGTTTAGTCAATGGTCAAATATGGTCAGATTAGTGTGTAATTTTGATAATGGAGCAAAGTGTTAATTTTTTATTTAATAAGGGACACAATGGTAAAAAAAAAAAAAAAAAACCATAATTATTATTGTTCCCCGGTCCTATCGAGCCGTCTCCGCCACTACCTTTAAAGTGGCAATCGAAGGCAAAAGACAAGACAATGGACCAACTCACAATAATGAGCGCATGGAAAGATTCACGTCCACCACAGGTATTAGCAGCATCCAAACAGCGTACATTGATCACAAATTTTTAACTAATGGTCCATGACAAGAATTGGCATGAGAATTTGGAAGATGGACTTGGGACGCAGGAAAACCTTATATTTGTGAGTCCAAGGGGATGAAATCATTTTCTTGAAACTCCATTTCTTGAACACGGTCATCCTCAAAAAGGAAAGGCGCAACTTCTTTAGATTTGTGGGGCTTCTTGTCGTTCATCTCTATAACTGAAACAATCCTATCCTCAATACAGTTTTCCATAATTTCAGTTCCAACTTCTTGGGACTGTAATCCTAGAAGAGAAAAGCATTCTCCCTGGAAATCTAAGTCACTGGAAGACAAGATCAGCCCAGCAATTGTTTTTGCGAGATCAGGAGCATAACTACGAATCTGAAAGTGAAAGACATTTAAAATATTAGGTGCAAAGTTGGCCAATAAATTAAATATAAGGCCAAAGAGATATCCAGAAAATTGCAAAACAATCTTGCAACCTAGTTACCAATAGACAAAGACGGATCAAGATCAGTTTAGCACAACTGTGATAGTCAACGCTATACTATCAATATACATAGTCAGATAGTAAGTAGATCAGACCATGTACAGTGAGTACATGTAATGAAAAACCAAACCAAGATGCAAAACGCCTAGCCAGAGTATGGATTTGTTTTTGACCAAAGTTTGGAAGTTTTCACTGTTGACTCTAATTCCTCAACATCCCCCGTAGAAAAGAGAGAAAGCAAGCCACAAGCCCATAGAAATTGGTGAAAAATGCCAATTTTATAGGGCAATGCCATGTTGATCTGTCACTCATACTCAGCCTGCGATGGGAAAGACTGCTAAATGCTAAGCATGCATGGTCCAGTCCCGGTCATACTAGGATAGTTAAATATAAAACCAACTCCGCAATAAACATTCAGCGAATTGAATGGGAAATCAAGCTGTTGTCAAGAGTTAAGACATTTCGGTTTATTGCCTTTGCTGTGGATGCTTTTGTTCTTTGAAAAGGAATGGAAGCTGCCCCGTGGGGTTGGGTTGGAAAAAGATAAAAAGACTACATGAACAAACGGTTCTATTATGTGCAAATCTCAGTGTGAGGAAATACTTTCAACAGTAAAACCACCGAGGGCCCTCAGATCACAAATATGTGTGTGTGTGTGTGTGTGAGAGAGAGAGAGAGAGAGAGAGAGATTTACCTGAAGGGAACGGGAACTTAAAAAAACCCCGGAATGCTTCATCTTCAAGTCATCCAGCGAAAGTTGAACAGCTTTTTTAACAAGTTTTTTATCAAGTTGAGACATTTTCCTTGGTGCTGTTATCACGGTCTTACCAATATGTCAAGGAAGTATAGATCACATAAAATAGATATACATTACCATACTAGCACAATGAAAATGCTCATACTTACACTCATATAGGGAAATATGTATGTCATTTTGTTTAGCATATGAATTTACGTGAGAAGAAAGTTAAGGACAATTTTAGCACTAAAATGTAGAGTTGTGCACTGGTTCTATGAAGTAAAGTCGGCAATCTATCAATTGAAAAGGAAAATCCCTTATCACACAGCAGATCATCATCACTTGTTCAATGAAGAGATATGATGGGAAAAAAATTCAAGGAAACGTCTTACAGCAAAGCATCAAAAATTGTCTCAGGCAAAGAAAAGTAGGATGTGTTTAACTGTCTGAGATAAAGCAAAAAAGGATCTGCCAATGCTGGATATTGTTTGTGGTATGAGTGGAGCACAATATCAATGTGAGTATCTGTAGGCAAGTTTTCCCATTCTAGTAATGCAAAGCCATCTTGCCGCACTATGCCCCCTAAATTCAAACCATATCTTTTCCAGTCAATGCTTTTCAATGCCTTAAGAGATGATTGAGAGATTGTACAAGGTGAAAAGTCCTTGAAGTACAAAACCTGATATTAAACATTGTTGTCAACCAAAATTATTTAGCGGATAAATAAAATCTAAAAAATAACATAAACAGAACAAAAGCAAATAATTCAAGGGCTTTTCCTGGAACCTCTGTTTTATCAGTATATTCCCCGAAGCACGTTGTGTTCTGCATTGATATATTACTTATTACAATAACTGCCTCCATCACCAGTTCAGTATGTAGACGATTTTCAGTGCAGCAAGCTATTCCACTCCCAACTTTGAGCTGCTCCCTAGCAAAGGTTAAAAAAGTAGATAATTTCAAATCTATTAATGCTATGATTTAAGAATCTAGAGGCCATTTTTTATTAAGCACACTGTATCCACCAAGAAAGTAAATATTTTGAGAATGCTTAGAGAAACCATGCAAACCAAGTTCTCACATTCACTTCTACATGTGATACATTTTTCCTCCACAATTTGTATACAATGTTACAGATCAACATTTTACATGGATCCAATTAATAATAACATGTTACAGTTCACATGCAAATAAGCTAACAGACGTCAATATTAGACACAAAAATTGTCTGGATCATATAATACTAGTGGCAAAGCAAGGAAATAATTTTAGCACGTGCCAAGGCTATATCATTTTTAAAAACCCAGCCAGAGCCAAGGATGTACCATTTTTGAAAACCAGCCAGTGTCAAGGCACTAGTTGATCTCCAAGTGACTCCGCCACTGTATAATACGTTTTGGATTGTGCAACCTAACTGACTATGACACCTTACAAAGAACTGAAAACTACTAGGCGTTACATTGCCTATGTACAAAATGTTCAAGTGATAATCAATATATCCCATGAACTACAGGATGATACCTACACATAATCATATTTAAAGTAGAGTAGAGTAGAAAAGATCTCTTCCTGAGAGTCTTAACTGCAGGAAAATATTCAATCTACTAATTCTAAAAGAAAAACATTATGATTCTAAATGATAAACGAGGAGCTGACTTGAGATTCTGAATGTACCAACTTGGGAAGCAAGAGTTACATTGGTTACTTAAATTATTTCCATGCTTAAGTACATAGTCTTCAAGGCCTGACTTAAGAAGTTCAAGATTTGATGCTGAGATAGGTAATTGCTTGCACTCATTTGCAAGAAAAACCTTTTCATATCGTGATTCAGGTACATCCCAATCTTCTGCTACCAATTGAATTGCAACATTCTGGACAAAAACTCAAAGGGAATCACTAAAACTGTGCCAATGTCTCAATCAAGTGCTCTGCATTAAATTTGTAAGTTTGGTTTGGTTTATATCAACGATACAGAAGTGCAACTTGGCAATCTGATTTGGTGGAATTATTAACAGTTGATAGCATGTGAGATAGAAGGAAAGTGCTCTCCAGCAGCAGCATTGACACATTGCAAGTTATAGTTGTTTGAAAGAATGTGAGAGCATTTGAGAATCTACACTTATGTCAGTTTAACTTACAGGAATCCTTAGAATTTGCATCTGCAAAGTCAGCAAATAAATAAATAAATAAGAAGAATGTGAAATTTGATACCTAAATATAAACAGCAGACTATTTTGCAGAGAAACAGAGCAATATCAGAACTTTAAAAAAATCCTTTGAAGAAAATAGCTTCAATTTTGCACATCCAGGCTCAGTAAAGCTGCCTCCATATTTCTGCTTGCTAATGTTTATCTCTATTTTTTTTTTTTTCTCAGGTGAAATTTTTTCCTGTTTTGGTCTGTGTTTTAGCAAATATAGCAATATCTGATACACCAAATTGCTTTAGACACTGCCCTAATGGAGAAGTGAAAAATATATACACAAACTTCTAATCTACAGCCTTAGTCACTGTCTAGAAATGTCAGTATTTTCTAATAACTGAAACATTTGTTATATTGCCGACCAATATTAGTTTAAGGGTTTAATGTTTCTCATGTTATAGGAGATAAATTTTATCTCCTACACACACATAGTATGTGAGACCCATGTGGACCCATATGAGGAGAAGAGAGATAAAGAGAATACATGGGCCCTACATACTTTCATGTATGTAAGAAATAAATTTATCTCCTACAACATGAGAAACAATAAACCCTTAATTTAATGCAGTAAACATAAATTACTTTCTTGAGTAGCATTTAGCTAAGTTTATTCAGTGAACTTCCATCCCAACCAAAAGGTATGACTTGTGAATTTCGATCTTGGTCCATGCTTGAAATTTGCCATAAAGATAAATGCATTATTGACATCGCGCTACGACTGTCACGGACGTGACTGAGGCACGGCAATAAATAAGCTATTTGATCATACAGATTTAGATTGAAAATATCATCTGACAAAAGTTTCATATATCCCAAGTAATTGACTTTTTGCAACAAAAAAGATTCGATGAAGTAGCACAAGAAAGTCAGCATACCTTCTGTATAAAGCTATGAATCTCAGCCAGTAAGAGATCAAGGCTAACAAAAGAAGACAGACAAACTTCACTACCGCTGCCAAATAAGACAATCACACAATTATTAAAAAGAAACTTAACTAACAAAATTAGTCTTAAATCAATGAAGTTCAAATAACTTGCGTGCCTGAACTTTGCACCGTTTTTTGTGTTTGAAGGTAGTCTAGTCAGTCTGGAGGAACCACTTTCTTTCAGACTTATCTGATAGTTATGTATCTCGGTATCACTGATGCCTACAATTTCCATAGACTGCAATAAGAATGTGATAACATTTAAACTAAACATGGTAACATATTAATTGGTTGAAATCTAAGTTACTCTTGAACCATGACAGTAGAATTACACAGCACCAAGGAAATAAATAAAACATTTGACAAACTGCACATGGCTTATTAAAATTGAGTTCTTATAAAAAATACCTATACCTGTGAAAATAATATGAAAAGAGAGTTAAAAACCATTTTCCTTAGACAAAAAGGCTGGCATATTACCTCCCACATTATGGGCAAGAACAATTGAGTTGACGCAGATATAATAATAGCTATTTCTTTTCGGATTTGTGCACGTGGGACATCTATACGTTCAATGAGATCAAAGCACAACTACCATGAGAACATTAAACTTACTGGTGGTTTTGATAGAAAGAATCCCATCTGTTTTACAAGCACCAAAAATTAAAATCATCAATAAATAATTGCAAATGACCCGAAGAAAAAAAAAAAAAATAAACTCCGATGGTAATCATTTTTTGTTCAGTTACCCCAATTGCCAGCTACATCTGTGGAAGAAAACCTCAAGTCTTGAAATTCCTCTAAGCAGCTCCCAATGCCGGTATCAGAGACTGCTCCCAACAAATTCAAGTATTATTAAAAGAAAAAAGAACACCACTCTTTAACCGCCTCGACCCGTGACATCATGGTATCCAGAACCTGGTTAACCATGTGCATGGGTACTAACTGAGATCAAGGTCACTTGGTAAAACACGACCTGATACCATGAAGATGAAGAGAACCACTTGGCTCAAACGGTAGTGTTTATTAATTTCCACCGTAGAATCTTTCTTCTTATTATTGTAATCGCTTATCGTATTGATTCATTGTTTTCTAATTAAAAATGCCTGAAAATTGAAGAAGGTGCCTCAAGTTGAGAAATTCCTATTTAATTTTAGCCAAAAAAAATTACAAAATTACAATTTAAATAAAAAAGTGTGCATCTACTTAGGCGTAACTCACCCGAGCTTACCAAGTGTAACACTCAAATTGCACCTAAATTAATGTGCAATCAGTTGCACTCAAAATGATATGCAAGTGATTGTATTAATATTTTATAAATCGCTTTAAATTCATATTTTTTATTTAAATTAAAAATTTTAAATTTTTCTCCCGTAATTTTAAAGTATTAAAATTAAAATTCAATCTTAATTTAATTTCGTTTTGTTTTATTTATTATTTTAAAAAATTTAAATATAATTCTATTTTTTAAAATTATTTTAAAAAAAATTTATGTGCAAATTTTAAATAATTAATAGTTTAAAACGGATAAAGTAGATATAATCTTGTAATGCCATGAGAGTATTTAAAAATTTCTCAAACTGAGAAATTCAACATGAAAATGATATTAATTAGCGCGCGCGAGAGAGAGAGAGGATTACTTGAAATTCGATGAGAAGAATGCGAAGATGAAGAACGAGCGAGAATGACTGAGAGTCTGCAAATCTGCTCGGATAATCGGCATCTCTGATATGCTGAAGATATTAACTGCAATCACAGATTCACATCACATAGATAATCGAACCAATCACAGAAATGGAAGAAAACAAATTGGAATAATTTTGCTATAAATAGAAGATGAAACTCGCATGCAATGTAAGCATGATTCCCATAATATTGAACCAATGAGAAAATCATAGGAAAACTATATATGAACATTTCGCTGTGCTGAGCAGAAGAAGAAGAAGCTCACATGTAAGCACAGTTTCTGAACCGAAGTAAACTCCATTCAGAATCAGAACTCACTCTCTCAGATTCGCGCGCAGAATCTGAGCAACAGTTTTGAAAATAAATTTATAAATCAGAAAACCAGTGCTGAAGCGGTGGATCCGTAGTGCGACCCGAGAACCAGGCCCATCAACGTGTTTATGGGCTGCAGTCTGAGCCATAATAGTCTAGCCCATACAGTGGAAACTATTTTATTATTATTATTTGGAAAATATTTTGTTTATAAACTTTTTATTTACAAACTCAATTATGTATTTCAGTAAATACAAACATTTAAGTGTGTATTTACCAGAATACATAATTGAGTTTGCAAACAAAAAAAATTGTTAATATAACTTTTTTCTCATTATATTATTATTGTTATTATTATCATGTAATGTGATTTAATATTTTTTAAAGAGATCTGAAATTAATAAATGTGTATCACAAATTGTCTTATTGCAAAAGATGAGTAGAAGCATTGGGGTCCCCAAAAAAAAAAAGTGCTTGAGATTCAGACCTTATACTAAAATTTCTGACTTCTTGCTCTCACAAAGACAAGCAAGTATGAAATCCTTTTGCAGACAAATTTGCCACTGCTGACAATGCTTTAGATAGCGACGCTGCTTGTTTTGACTGAATCTCTACCACCATGTAATCATTTTAACGTTATGTATGACTTTATCAGTTGCCTTGCCTGAGTTAATAAAGTTATACTATCATAACCAATGCAAAAAATAGTATGATTAGAACATTGTGAGTTAATTAGCATTTGCCTACTTTCATGCAATAAAAAAAAGAAAAAGAAAAAAGGAGGAGGGGTAAATTGCAATGAAAGATTTAACAAATTTCACTGAAACATTTCCAGAAATATAATCTTCACACTTGCAAGGACTACCACCACGTAATGCCAGCCAGTGGCATCACTGGAAGAAACAGAAACGAAACTACGTTCGAATATTTATATTCTCATTGCTTCAAGTAGAATTATTCTCCTTTTATTCAACCGTTGCTGGCTTGTTTAATGCATTTATCTAACCATTTCCCAAAGTGCTTGCCTCAAATTATTTTCCCTTTACTGCGTGGTGACTTTCTCCATCAAAGAGATGTGAAAGTTTTATGACCCAATCATCCACTGGTTCATATTGAATTATTGATCTCCTTAACTAAGGAAGGAATGACAATAAAAGATAAGAAGTACAGTGTTAAGTGTCGTTCAGTCTCATGTGAGTGGAATTTTTTGCAACCTGAAAAGAGCCTAAAATTATACCCTTAATTTATTCAATGAAAAACAAAGTTAATTAATATAGAAAAAATAAAAACAATGCATTTGTAATTAATACCAATACCAATACCAATACCAACTCAACACTCACAAGCAGATTCCATCTTTCAAAAGGAATAAAGGGCAAAGGTAGGGTGACCCCATTCTTAGTGCTTCATACTTTTGCACAGATCCCCATATTAACATGACAATGATTCTTCTCTGACTCTGTCCTCGCTTTCACAGATTTCGGAGAAATCCTTGACTAGGTGACACCTAACATGCATCACACCATCCTGCTGCTAAAACGATTACCTTTTTTTAGACCCTTAGTTATGAATTTCTTACGATTAACTGACCCGGGGTTATAGTGTACCAATATAGCATGACCAATGTAGTGCATAGTTTCGCCCTAAGTCCCTCCCATCTTGAGCATGATAAGTTTTAAATCCTTACAAAAATGTATCCCCACTCATATAATTTCATTAATTTGTACCAAGAAAAGTAACACGCCTTAATAAATAAAATATCACGAAACTTTGATATGATACACTAGAGAGACTATCTCATTCCAATGATTATCAGTGGAAACATCTCCAGTAAACAAAAGCTGCACTTTCATAGGGCCCTGAGAGTGTTATGTCCGGATGCTCCAAGATCTTACTTTCTCTCCTTACAAAGCAATCACAGGAGCCAAAGCCAATAAGTAAAGAGCACAAAGAATATCTTTAGTTGTCTTCTTTATTAAAGAAAGTTCCCCTCTTCACCTTTTTTTAAAATTCAAAAAATCCTACTTATTTGAGGCCCAATTTACATAAACTCTTCTCACAGTAATCTACTTTGAGTGCTTGGTGAAATATCTACCTTGGTATCCACTCAAAGAACAAGAGCTGCAGCCCTTAATATCAAATCCACCTATTCCCCACAAATCTCCTAACCCCTCAACACAATTTCTCTTTTCTCATCTAACTCTGAACTCTCAAGAGTGAAGATGTCTTTACAAGTTCAACCACTGCCTCAGCAACAGCAACCTGTCCAGGTCTACCCAACAAGTGTCACATACCAGTCACCTCCTCAACATTCCAATGGGTCTTTTGGGTCAGTATTTGTTGTCCTGGCCATAATAGTTGTCATTTCAGCTATTGCTTGCTGTCTTGGAAGGCTTTGCAACAGGCGCGGCCGCAGCCACAACCACAAACAGAAACATGTTAAGCAGGAAAAGCAGCAGAACCACAACTTCCGTCCAAAAGAAGTGGATATTGAATTTGGCTTTGACAAAAGAATCGCAGCTTCCAAGCCTAATGGACATGGAGCAGCCAGAGGACCCAAGCCACTTGCTCATGGTGACATGAAAAGTTTTGATATGAAGCATGGCGACTTGAAAAGTTTTGATATGAAGCTTGGTCGTGAAGGAAAGCTAAGAGCAGGTGCATGATGGAATTATAAGAGAATATTATGTAGACATGGCCATCTTCTTGTTGGTTACCATTCCACCACTATACCATCGTGTTTCTATTTTTCTTCTCTGTTTTTCAGTGTCTTAGATTTCCAACTGCAAGATGAAATGTATAATTATCTTCTCTACTATTTTTATGCCCTTGTTTTGAGATTAAGGAAACAAAAAAACAAAAAAAAACTTTTATTCCAATATGGATTTGTAAAAGTAAAAATAATGTAAAAAATATAAATAATTCAATTTGAAATTGATGGATTGATTGAATAAACAAAATGATGGTTTTCAATTTTTATCTTTAATTAAATTGATTTGGATTTTTTAAGAAACTTAGCTTCAATTGAATTTGGATTAATAAAGCAAAAGAAGCAATTACTTGGTAGAGTGTTTTGCTTTTACCCTGACTGGAGCTATGTCTCAAGTCTCAACTATTCCCAGTTTGGTAACCATTCAAGTACTCGCAGCCGTGAACATAAATTCAAAATGGAAAATATATGTAACACCCCGTTCTAGAACCGGTTTGTTAACATCGCATTATGATATTAAGCGCAGTTACAATCACATGGGTTCAATTAAAATCCGGATAAATTTTTCATTTTAAAACATACCGAATTTATAATACCCAATTTCGTGATCATAACCATATTACCTTGCGGAAACAGATAAATTAAGCTTAACATCATGTTCATTTTCCATTTTTAAATCATTAATTTACTTCTTGTTTAGTTCAATACTTCTACTATATTGTAGGTTTCTTCATTAGCTACCTGTGGCTTCAAACCGTGCTCAAATCGGAGCACTGTAGCCCAAGTTAGGACCATTTGAAGCAACACAAGAGAGTGTTGGTCACAGGCCCCGCGCGCTTCAGCGCGCTACCGGGCGCTCAAGCGCGCGCTATCGGGCGCTAAAGCCTCCATCTGGGCGCTTAAGCGCACGGAGGCAGTAAGCATCAGGCATTCCAGTGTGGATGGGCGCTTAAGCGCGCAACAGGGCGCTCAGGCGCGCTATCCTGGGCGCTCAAGCTCCCACGGGGACGTTTTAGCGCGCAGAGACAGAAGCATCTCCTCCTTCAATGGCGAAGGGCGCTTAAGCGCGGACCAGGGCGCTCAAGCGCGCAACCCTGGGCGCTTAAGCCCCACCCTGGGCGCTAAAACACGAGGGGGCAGTAAGCCACCCAACTTTCTGCAGCAAGGGGCGCTTAAGCGCACGCCAGGGCGCTCCAGCGCGCAATCCTGGGCGCTTCAGCCCCCACTTGGGCGCTCCAGCGCGAGGAGGCAGAATGCATTGGCACTCGCAGGGGCATCAGGGCGCTTGGGCGCGCTCCTGGGCGCTTAAGCGCGCTGCCAGGGAATTCCAATTCCCACATTTCTCAAGTCCAAGCCTAGGGGAAAATGCATCCCCATTACAAACCACAAATGTCCATGCCCCAAAACTAAATCCTAGCACTCATCCAACCTCTCCTCATGAGATTTAGCTAGAATTTGGGCAGCATGACCTTTGTTTTCTCATCGTTTACCAGTTTAAACGAAGAGGGTACCTAATTGATTTTCAGCCCAACCAATTCAACAACTCAATACATAACAAGCATGCATATATTGAATTCCAAGTAGGCATCATTTACATTACATATCCTTTACAAATCATAGAACTTAGCTTACAAAACACTATGATCATTCCCTTGGCTCCCATCAACAAAAGGTGTAACCAAAGGCATGAGCATAGGCTAAGTTCATCCAATGAATCAAGATATACAAATGATCATGGGCTTTCAAGATAAAATCCTATACATGTCAACTACAAAAGGCATGCATAAACTCAAAGAAGTGCCATATTTCATGCATAATCTAGGTATGGCCACTTGCCACCAGAGGCTCCTGCAGCATCCTTACCTGAAAGGGGGTCCCCACAACACGGGGTGAGATATACGAATATATCCAGTAAACCAGGGGTCCTTGGAGCATCTCTCCACCCCACAGTTCCATATCAGTGTAATAGCAATAACAATAATAATGCAGTAAATACATATCTATGCAAAGTGCAATACATCTCCAGGAGAAATCCCTCGAGCTCTCAAGTTGTCCTAAGGAAACTCAGATGCAAATAGTCCTACTGGCCAGCTAACTACCATGTATGATTTACGCATCGTCATGCAACATACCCACATAGGGAAACACCATCCTATGCCACACCAAATGCATACACATACGTATAACAAAGCATTACACTATTTTATTGCATTTATATACACAATCACAACCTCCACCCTTTCAGGGCTTGGTAGAACAGTCAAGGGAATTACACCCAAGGTCCGAAGGCTTACCTCAATGCTTCAGTCAACCTTTGTTCTTCACCAACAGTTTCAGCAATCAACTTTTACAAACATACACCTACACATGGTGTAATGCAATCAACACATTGCATCCAAGAGTATTTCACAATCAACCATCAATTACTCAATTCAAAGCACCACACAAGTATGAGCTTACCAATTCCAATGAGCTATTCAAGCTCCATAGCTTGCTCCAATGGTTGATCACTCACGGTTGGTCCAAATGTCTCAATCCTAGACATCACAAGGATCCAATCAATCATTCAACTCACTAATTGTTCAACATGCTAGAATACTAACCAATCCAAGCATGAATTTTCCAATATTATGAACAATTATCAAATGACTATCTAGGCTCATTTCCACCGGTTAAATGACATTCCTAGCATTTTCCATCACATGCTCTAAGCTCCATTCTTCCTAGAACATAGCTAATTCAACCACATTTCATAAAAATCCCAATTTACTATTCACAAACCCTAACTCATGCAAATTTCAAGGAATCATGAGGTTCAAGGGTTAGAATCTTACCACCAATGGTCACACAACTAAGGATTGATGGCTCCTCAAGCTTCAATGGAGGTAGAAACTCTCAAAACCCCAATTTTCACCAAAGGGCCGAATTTTTGAGAGTCAATATCCCTCTCCACAATGCTCCCCACTCAAAACAAAGTTAGGATTATGAAAGAGGGGAAGATTCTAAGTGATTTAGGCTTTTGAATCGCTCCAATCGGTTGAAAATCACACAACCTAGGTTTTCTTTCTCTCTCTCCCTCCCTTCCTCTTCTCTTCTCTTCTTTCTGGGCGTCGACGGGCTGGGTGGGAAATGAGGGTCATTTGGTGACTTAAGTCACTTAACATAGGTTAAGTGGCTCTAAGCGAGTATTGGTTCGTCTATCTATTTAACTCCAATAATTACCAAACTTTACCCAAAAGTCTGGAATATTATTCTAGGAATATTACTATTTTTATTTTTATATTTTGGGTACTTTTGACAGTACCCATTTATACCCCTTAATTTTCACTGAGTACACTTTTTAACTCCAAAGTGACTCAGATTCATTTTATTAAGCCTCATACTTAATTTCACCCAGTAAAACATGTTTAATTAATTAATTACACTTGATTTCCTAATTAATTAATATGGGCTATTATAATATAAGTCATTATATGAGAATCATAACTATTTTATATAATCTCAAGGTGTCATTGTAAATATGCAGTAAGAAACTCAATATTCCTAATCCCGCATCAATGAGATATATATATATATTTATACTCAAAAAACTTACACTTTCAAGCTCTTAACGTCCCCCACTATTAAAAAAAGAATGGGGGAAAGAAAACAGAAAAAAAATTTAAGAGATAGAAAAAGAAAGAAAAAATTAACGTTTTTGACCGGCATAAGTCAAACGAAGGTAATCTCAATATATTTAGACTTTTGTGGTGGTGAGGATTGGGAGGTTTGGCTAAAGTTCATAGTTTCAACTTAAGCAAACCAAAAAATTTCATGGTGATTTGTAAGATGAAGGTGAGTTTGGTAAGATTAGTTTTAGGTTATGGAGAAAGAATTTGGCGAAATTAGTTGGGTTAAAATCAGCATCCTTGAACACCATTATGCCTATTCTCATTATTGTACTGGTATATATGTTCCCTCAAGATCTGTGCTCGGCAATGTTCATTTGGCTGTGGAAAGATCTAAATTCTGAATCACCACCACTTGTACTATAAGGCATCCTTGCATGTTTGGTTCCAGATATCTGTTCTCTTGAACTGTATTCTGTACTGTATATATGAAAATCAGAATCACTAAAGCTGCCATTAGCCATCCTTCTGAATCTCATGATGTCTTCATTATACTGGCCAGAATCATAAACAGTGCTCTGACCATATTTCACCCCATTAGTTAGATCATATATTTGATCTCCGCTGTCTAAGGCTCTTACCACCTGATAAAAACCAATGGAATGACTAGTCAATGAATTTGAATGAGTTTAAGATATAAATGTCACAAATGAAGATAATTATTATGTCAAAACAAAACAAGCACAAGCTTGATGAACCAAATAATAATAGCTATCTCTCATTATTATTATTATTATCACCTGAACCATACGAGGCCGTTTTGGAGCAGAATGTCGAACACATGCTGCAGCTGCCTCTATCATTCTGAACATTTCACTGTCAACGTAGTTCCGTTCAAGCCTTGGGTCTACTAGTTCACCAAAGTCACCTGTCTCAATTGCACGAAGGAGAAGTGGACGAGCCTGTGGACATAGGAAAGCATCATTCAAGGTACATGTTAATTTTGTGTCCCGTGAGAAAAAAAAAATAACCAAAGCTACCAGTTGAACATGTTAAATATGTATGATATTCTATACAGATAAGTAAGTGAAAGGAAAAAATGATTGATTTATCTAAAAGATACACCATAATAAATAACGGATCGAGATAAATGCAATTAGTTAATTCAACCTACAATTAGGATGATGATTGATGAATATCTGTGAGTTGCTAGACCTTCTCTAATACTTTTCAAAATGAAAATGTCTAGAATCCTCTGACAGTGAGACAGTATCTTTAACATGTCTATTGTAAGCTAAACTTCAAACTGAGTTAACACAAATATATATTTTAAAGTTTAAAAAGAAATATGTTTTAACCAATTCAAATGTTCTAATGCATTATTGGATCAAAAAAGGTTATTTTCTGCAGACCAGATCAAAAGTGGAAAAAGGGCTAGTATGGTAATATGTACTTTTATGAAAATGGGTACAAAAATAATTTACCTTAGAAATGATGCCAGTATAGTTGGTTTGTGGGGCATCATTTTATTGTAATAAATAATACAGACTGTTGAAATATGTAGTTTTAATATCTTTTGTTTATGATACTATGTACACAGGAACTTGACTTCCATTCTTTCTTATACTATTGTCCCTAGTTATCAGAACAGTAGAGAGATAAGGGAAACGGAGGGAATAGAATACATCAAAATTCACAGTATATTTCACTTCACAAAATAAGAAAAAGGTTGACCAGTCGTACCCACTCAACCAAACTCTCATCTCCCACGGGCTGCGTTGGATCAACAGGTTTCCTTCCAGTTACAAGCTCAAGGAGGACAACTCCAAATGAAAAAACATCTGATCTATCCGTTAATTTTCCACTTGTTGCATACTCTGGAGCCATGTACCTGCAAATTGAAGCTAGAATGAGTTAGATGGTGTGATAGTTTAACATTTGGCATTATTGAAGGTTTCCTCACATAAGGTTCTTGTTGTAAACTCAAATCTTAGCAGGCGGTTTCAAAACCTAAAAGCCAGTCCACCCCATTAGAGAGTAAATCCTTAGCCTCCAAACTAACATTGATGAACAACAATCATTTAAAGTAATATTCTACTTGTGAGTTAAGCTCTAGGGCATTTCATAATACTAGTTCAATAACCACCACCACCACTTTATTCCATATCATCACTTATGTTTTTTCCAACCAAACGAAAGCAAGTCCCAACCCCATGAAAATCATTATATACATCAGAATATACTGCTTTATGTTTTAGATACATAGGAAACCTACCCGAAGGTCCCCATCACCCTTGTTGATACATGAGTATTAGCATCATCGGTTAGCCTGGCAAGTCCAAAGTCTGCAACCTGTGTTTAAACAAGGTTAAATTAGGATCCAGGCTTCAAATTTAAATTAGGGAGCATGACAGAAATAAATAAAAATATATGCATACCTGTGCCTCATAATTATCATCCAGAAGTATGTTAGCCGACTTAATATCTCTGTGAATAATCCTTGGGTTGCCTAGAAACAAATAAAATATTTTAGCTTTTCCTAATACAAAATTTCCATTTAGATAATAAAATACTGAGTTGAAATATGGAATTGGAAATAGAAAAAAAAAAAAAAAAAAAAAAAAAAAAAAAAAACTACACAAGATTAGTTATTAAGTTTTACTTGTGTTTCGAGAAATTTTCACAAAACCAAGCACAGTCAATATCCCTCTTCTCTTTAGACTAATAAACCACAAGGAGACGAATAACTCAAAATCAACACGAAATTCTTAAAGCGTCATATGAACTCCATAACAGTGTTTCAGATTTAAAACCAATCCGTATCATAAGATCCCCTAAGCTTTGGGCCAGTTCTCTGCTTATTCCTTCGATATCTTTCAGTAAATTTCATCAAACATAATACACAGTTAAGAGATGAGAGGATAGAAATATAAAAATTAATGAATTGTCAACCCAGAGTTCCATAGAGAAAAGGATAGAAGTGCCTTCAGACAACAGAAATATTTTATTGGGTTGATAACAGGCATATCCAACTTAGGTATGCTGTTTTGCACACTACTTGAACACCACGCATGGTAGAATCAGAGTTTAATTGGACCCTCTTAAACTGTTCTAGCCCACCTAAACCTAAAGTGTACGGTTCATATTTTCGAAACACCATGTACAAAAATCATTTCCCTATCCAATGGTTCTGGTAAAATGGCACCTTGTTCTTAATACATAATAATGTTTTATTGTAAGAATATATAATCCAATCAAACAAATGTTACTGCAAATGCAAGATATACTTACAGCCATCATGCAGATATGCCAGGCCCCTTGCAGCGCCAATTGCTATCTTCAACCTCTTAGGCCAATCCAAAACTACCATATCTTCACATATAAAGAAAACACAAACTCTTTTCTTAATTTTGCCGAGAAAGAAAAAAAACAATAAAAAAAAAACAAGGGAAACTCACGTTACCATGCAAGTGCTGATCGAGGTTCCCATTAGGAACGTACTCATAGATAAGCACTCTTTGGTGGTCGGATATGCAATAACCAATTAAAGATACCAAATGTCGATGATGGACACGGCTGATAATATCAACCTCAGCCCTGAACTCCCTTTCTCCCTGTCCACTACCAGCTTTCAGAAGCTTAACCGCTCCAACTCTACCATCTGGCATCGAAGCCTTGTAAACACACCCAAATCCCCCTTCCCCAATTACGTTTTCACTAGAAAACCCGTTAGTAATTTCCACAACCTTGTCATAGCTAAATACTATCTGACCAGCACTTAAATGCTGGTCTGAAGGAGTTCTTAAATGATGCATGCCATTGCCACCTGCAAGGTTCCTATTTCCATAATTGTTTGTGGGCTGTGAACTATAAAACCCATCTTGTGCACCATTCACAAAACCAGGTCCCTCTACATAGTAATGCACATCTGCACCTGATGATGGCCAGAATAGAAACATTAAACATATGAAAACAATATGGACAATGCAATGATTAATATTTAATACCATTACCATATATAGATTACCTCCTTTCATATGAGATTTATTTTGGGGTGGCAAGGCATAGACATTCCCTCGTTTTTTCTTCCTCCTCAATATGAAAAAAAGTAATAGAGCAACTAAGGCAAGAACGAAAACAGCGGCGAGAGAAAAACCAACGTATTCTCCTGTCTTATCACTGGAGGTTGGTGACTTGGACGGGGAGTGGCTATTAGAAGAAGGAGCGTTTGGTTTTGGATGGGAGCTCGCGGGAGTGGGTGGTGATAGCGGCGGCGGAGGATGGTTTGGCCCTGAACCAGTTGGTGGGGGCGGAGGAGACATGTAAGGTGGAGGAGGGGCATGAGGTTGTGATGGAGGTGACTGTTGAGATGGTGGTGGTGGAGAAGGTGGCGGCGGTTCGGGGGGTGGTGCCGATGGAGAGTGAGGAGGAGCTTTTGATGGCGGTGGACTAGAAGGAGGCGGCGGAGGAGAAAGCGACGGAGGTGGAGAAAGCGACAGAGGTGGAGGCGGTGAGGGAGACGGCGGAGGTGGGGAGGGAGACTGCGGTGGCGGCGTAGAAGGGGAAGGTGGGGGAGAATGAGACGGAGATGGCGGCGGAGACTGCGGAGGAGGAGCCGGTGGAGAATCTGAGTCATTGGACAACTGAGACGACAGAGACGGGGAAGGTGGTGGAGAATCTGACTCATCAGACGACGGAGAAGATGGCGAGGGAGCCGAAGCCTTATCGAAATCAGATGAAGACGACCCATTTGACGAGCTTTTATTGGCCATTTCTGATTCTCACAAAAATCTCAACTTGATTATCAGAAATGGCAAGGGAAAAAAAAAGAAAGAAAAAAAAAACACAGACGAAAAGCCTATAGGAACGAACGAGACACGAATTGGAAACAGTTTCTGCAAGGCGAAGATTTATTTTTGAAGATCAAAACAGAAAGAGCAGCTAAAACAACAAGATGTGTTTCTGGTGGTTTAAAGAATGCAGTTGAATTGGGACGATGAAGTGGCCAGCGAATCGTTGAATTTGGGAAACAGAATTGCCAGCACGATGAAACGCGTGGAGAGACAGTGTATGTTCGTGTCTGAGATTGAAGGAAGAGAAGGAAAAAACAATAATAATATTGAAAACTGGTGGACACTGCCAAATGCAAATCTACCATAAGCCCAGAACATTCTATGTTAGCATTATTTTAGGTAGTTAGTTTCATGTTTGCATAGATTCATGTTCATGTTCGTTTTCGTTCGGGTTTGTTAAGGAGAGCCAGGTGTCACTTCTTTTACATTTTCATTCTCATCTCCTTGAATTTCGGGTTACCGCGCAACCTAAAACCCGTCGGAGCTTAACGGGTTCGAAATCCCTTCCATTTCACCCGAGTCTATTGTGGAACCAAACATGGGCTCCTCCTATTGGGGTTGGGCTCAAACCCTTTGTGTCCATTTTGTCAAGTTTAACTTTAAACAAAAATATTATCAAAAGTTAATTTTAAATCCACTAAAAACAAACCAAATAAAAATTAAGAATATATTTCAATTTTACTTTAAAATTTCTACACATCATATGATTTCCCCAAGCACAACTTCATCAGACAAATTCGTGGCTCCAATGATCCTGTGCTCGAATGTTTCTTCAAATTCTGCTATTGCTAGCTATTGATGTGATTTCTTCAGCCGAGGCTGCATCCTCAATGCTTTGGATGAGTGTTATCAAATTCGAGCTCATCAACTCGGTTAGTTAGTGGGTCAATGGATTACCGGTGAATTATTGGGTCAACCATATAAATTAAAAATATATAATAAAATATAAGGGGTAAGATATATTTATCAGTAATCACTAATTAAGTTTACTATTTCTTAACACTAAATCTTAATCATTGATTTTTATCAATATAAATGTTATAATTTATTAGAAATTAATAATTAATTAATAAGTGTTATCCAATAAATTATAATCGTCAGATTGACAGAAATTAATGGTTAAGATTTGGTAGTAAAAAATGATAAACTTAATTGGTGGTAAATGGATCCCTCCCCAAAATATAATAAATATAAAATTAGAAGTATTTTAACTAATAATTAGAATTGGATTAGCACTAAGTGCTATAACTTGTAATCTACATGATTTAGGTTCAAATATCATTAATGGTATTTTTCAAACATTTTATCAAAAATTTCACAAAATTGATTTTTATTTTTAAAATAATACCGGTTAATTCCGGTTGAACCCAATTCAAGACCAATTTATTGATTTCATATCGAATCAAATGTATAACCAATTCAATACCTAAATCAAATTAATTGAAAGTTGTAACGTCCGGCCACTTGCAAGAATCAATGATTGTCCCCTCACACTAACACGAGACTTTTCAGTGTGCTTTGTCCTCACTCGCACACTTCCCGGGAAAACTTCCCAGGAGGTCACCCATCCCAGAATTGATCCAAGTCAAGCACGCTTAACTGTGGAGTTCTTCCGATCCGGGCTACCGAAAAGTAGATGCATCTTGTTAGTATAGGTAGTACCAATTAATTCTTATAAGTCATTCATAACTGTACCGTCACATACCAGCACAGAGCTCTTGGGATGTTACATGCCCACCAGCTTCCGCCTGGTTCGTCCTCGAACCACACCGTACTGGAAGAGAGGCCCTGCTCAGATACCACTTGTAACGCCTGACAACTTGCAAGAATCAATGACTGTCCCCACACACTAACACGAGACTTTTCAGTGTGTTTTGTCCTCACTCGCACACTTCCCGGGAAAACTTCCCAGGAGGTCACCCATCCCAGAATTGATCCAAGTCAAGCACGCTTAACTGTGGAGTTCTTCCGATCCGGGCTACCGAAAAGTAGATGCATCTTGTTAGTATAGGTAGTACCAATTAATTCTTATAAGTCATTCCTAATTGTACCGTCTCATACCAGCACAGTCTCTGGAATCCCTCTCTTTCGGGTGTTGATTCGATTCATTCATGAACCCCCAAACTGCAAGATTTGGCATGAGCCGCTCATTGTCCGTGCCTTTTCGCACCGACGATCACTCCCTGCCCTTGCCAGCTCTTGAGATGTTACAAAAGTCGAATTTGCGAGTCAACCAGTCAAACCTGCCGTGATTTTTATAACATTGTTTTGGATGAAGTAACAACATTTGAGTAGAGCACATTAGATACCAACGTTGTCATGACTCATGAGGACTGAGGAGACATTGCCTGAGGTTTTGACATCGACTCTTTCCGTACAAGTCTTACTAAAACTGCCTTCAAAATGGACGGGCAATAGGATACAGATGTCAAAGACAATTGAAGTAAGAAAATAAAAAAAATAAAAAAATCGAAGAAAACAACAGGAAAAACAAATCAACGAATAGACACTCCAGTCCAAGATATTATAAGAGCTTGCTTTCTAGAAAAATAAATTGTTAGGTTGAGTTTGAATTTATTGAAGATTTTAGGAAATTAAATTTTATTAAGGTATTAGATTTGGCATAAAAGTTCAACTTGAGAAAGAAACTATTGTAAACTATATATAAAAATCTCTTACTAAAATATAAAATAAAAATAAACAGGTGAAACAACAATTTACAACAATAATCAGGCCATAATTAACTCGGATCAGCTATTTGGATCACTATATTGTATTAAAAATATATTTCCAGAAAATCTATTTAGGCAATATCTTATTTGAATTTTTTTCTAAAAGATTATTTCTTATTATTCCTATATTTTTTTACCCTTTTATTTTTTTTATGAAATAAATTCTCTTTTAGGTGAAAATAACCTCTTACTAATTGATCCACACAGGTGATAATTTTTTTCTTTTTTAAATTTCAACATCCATATGGATCAACTAGTAAGAGTTTATTTTCACTTAAATAGTAACTAGGTTAAAACTTGGCATAAAGAGTTTTATTGCCGATTCAAAAATATCGACTACTAACAAAAGAAAGGATTGCGAGTTGGACCAGAGACGACCCTATGTGTCCCAATTGGCCAAGGATACAGGAGAGTACAATACATGTGCTGTGGAAATGCACACCAGCGAGAAGGATATGATTCCACTGGATTGACCCATGTCACATGGTATATAACAAAAGAGCATGACTAAAAGCAAACATTAAGTGTCATCTATAGCAGGTTACGGGGGAGTTATAAGAAATAGGAAGGGAAATTGGATAGGGGGTTTCTCTATGCCAGGTAAGATAGTATAATCTTTTTCTCGCTGAATCATGGAGCCTGCTGAAAGGGTTGGAATATGCTCGGTCTTTAGAAGGTGTAATGTCCCGTTCTAGAACCGGTTTGTTAACATTACGTACGACATAAGCGCAGTTACAATCACAAAATTGAATTAAATACGGATACACTTTTTCCTTATTATTTGTAAACGTTTTTAATTAAAATCAACTTCGTGCTTAAAACAATCCCCACAATGTGATTATAACTTAACTACATGTGGAATTCTTATTGTAAGTCTTACTTACGCCATACATTATTACCATAATGTGCCAAGTAGTCCCCTTAGACCACCAGGGCTTAAAACTCACTTTTAATGTTCTTAAACGCTAAACGTATACACTCTTTATTCATTTAAGAAATTAATATACTAATCTTATGGTCTCCATTTGTCCAATATATTATAGGATTTTTCATTAGCTACGCGTGGGTTCAAACCGCGCTCAAATCGGAGCACCGTAGCTCAAGTTAAGCATTTTCTAAGAAAATAGGTACTGAAATTTCCATGACTCCCATGCTCATAGCGTGAGAAGTCCGAGGGGTTGACGCTCATAGCGTGGCAGTTCTGGAGCAAGCACCAAAACAGGGCAATCTGACCTCTTATGGTGTTCTACCCATAACTTGAGTTATACTCATCCAAATTATACAATCTTGGTCTTTATGGAAAGCTAAGAAAAAGATCTACAACTTCCATTAAGACGCAAGGGTCCAAATCTATCATATAGGATACAAAAATTGGACAATAAGACGAGATATCTTTACTTTTACTTGGATTTTCAACCTAAAGGTCTTCTTTCACCTAATTGACATCATATAATCTTTTCAATAAATGGTTCTTAGTTCTTGCAAGGTACATATACATCAAAAGAAACATGCATACCATTTTCTCATATACATATATCCTATAATTACAACATTACATCATTGCAACATGTCTTAATTACAAATCATGGGACTTAGCTACAAAACATTATGACCAATTCCTTGGCTCCCATCAACAAAAGAGACACCAAAGGAGATGAGCATAGGCTAAGTCCATCAAAATAAAACATGACATACATATAACAGTTCTAAATGGCATGCAACTCAAAATGTCCAGCTATCAGGTACAATCTACTCATGCTTCTTGCCTCAATCAACCTCACCTCTATCAGTACCTGAAATGATGCCCCACAACACGGGGTGAGACATACGAATATATCACAGTAAACCTAGGGCCCTTGGAGATCACTCCACCCTAAGGTTCACTTCCGATGTACATATAATCATAACAGTTTAACACATTCTTATTCATAACCATTACATGGACTTCCAAGAGAGATCCATGAAGGACTGTTTCTCTTAGGCTCTTACCACATGGAGATCCACATAGGGCTGTTTCCAAGGGAAGTCCTTACCTCAATCTAGGAACCTCCAAGAGAGATCCACATAGGGTTGTTTCTCTTAGGCTCTAACCACATGGAGATCCACATAGGGCTGTTTCCAAGGGAAGTTCCTACCAATCATCCTCATCATGGTTCTATCAATTATTACCTCAATCAGTATTTACAT